AAATGGATTAATAATAACGATAAGCTGACAATAGATATCCATAGCACTATGTGTTAACACGATTCCCATGACAAATCTACCAAGTTTTCGTAGCGTTTTCATTTTTGCGAAGGACGGTCCAACGGGGGAAAATAAATATTGAAACTTTTGTGTATCATCCTCCGGAGTGCTTTAAATTTGGAGCTATCAAATATAACGTGAACCACTTTGTTTCAAATATATCATCGTTATTGTCGCTTTCTGAATAGCTCTCCTGCCATTGTGTTATGCTTGGGCTGTTAAATATTACCTTCTTTTTTCACGTGCAACATTATACGATGAAAACTTATTATTTCGGAAATGTATCAAGTGTCTTGATTCAGAGTATCGTTTCATTGTCCCACAAAATGTACGTTTAATAAGATACCATGGACAAGCCATCGTTTCCCGATAAAGGACCGCGCAGCTATTAAGTACACGCCAACTAATTAACTTAGCAGGTCGAAGCCTCCGTTCTTCTTCGAAATCTTCCGCAACTGTTGCCGAGGAAATTGATATTCATGGTCGATGTAACTTTCTGGCTTCTGCAAGTGACAGTACGGAAAAGAGTTGATTCGCGGAAAGGAAGGTCGCGACGCCTGGTCGAGTTGTGTCGTTGATGTCGGATTGGTCATCCTTAATTATACTCCGGCCACGGTAGAAATTGTAGCGACCGCGATCCACGAATACCTGGTGCTATTCGATGCTACATATCGAGCAGGAAGAATCTCATGCTCGTGCTAGGTTCACTCAGACGATATTACGGTCGAAAGCTAGCGCATGTAGACGTACACGCGGTTCTACAGATGGAAACGCATCTATTCGACTCTGGAATTTCATATCACGTGGCAGAAGGGATAGTACGCCCGAGCATTAATTTCAAAACGTACCGTGCTAATGCGAGTTTGAGAGATGATGATGCATTCTGGGACATTCTGCGATCTCCAGAGATCTCCGAATGCCACTCGCAACAGCAGTGAATCGTACTTCGGTTCTCAAGTTATTCGATAAGAACCTCTTTTCTTCGGTATGTTCCGCGGATTTAACGCTTAACGTTTCTTTAATTCGTCCTGTTGACGCGTTAAGGACCAACGTTACGTCAACGCAACGTCTCGTTTGTAATTTCCTTTCGATCAGTTCGCGTTATCGAATTCTATCAAATTGGTGTTGTAATGGCGAAGAGGAATTCCGAGAATTTAAGTCAGCCTTCTTTTCATTGCTACTTTTTCCTCAGGAAACACCCAACAGATCTCATAAAGGATATAACCTAACAAACACGAAGATGGTACCCCGCTGGGGGTAGCCACCTACATGATAGTCAAATAGCCAAAAAATTCTACCAAATGTCTAAATCGGACAAATTGTGAATGTAAACAACTAAATAAAAAAAGAAAACTTTTTCCTCCATCTAAGTTCCTCTTACGAAGTTCGAAGAAATCGAAGTGTCTTACAGCACAGCGATGTGCTTATTCTATTTTCGAATTATAGCACTTCTTTCCTTGCGTCTAATTGTTCACTCATTTCGCTTGCGTCTCTTTGATAAACTTCGGTGTACGTGAATTTTACAGTCTCGTCGCTTGGTACTTAATGGGTCGATAAAGAAATCCAAATACCGAGAAACTACGTTTATTTGGAACAAATTTTAGCGAATATCGGATCAAGTGAACTCTTGCCAGCCGAATCCTCTCATTTGTATGTGGATTCTTTCTACGTAAACGAAAAATCATGGGAACCAGTGCGCTCCTACCATACGAATTCCAATAAAATTATACAAACTATTCGTCCCCCGACAAGTTCGTAGGAATATGATTTTCTTGTATCTGTTCTATTCATTTTTACCGTTCACGGTTCTATGAGAATGTACGTTACTCGTAACACGATCGATAAATTTAACATTTATCGCTAAACATTATCTGTGTACGTGGTACAACCACTGGACAAGGAAAAATGAGTAAACATTATTACAGTGTACCGTTTTGCTATTTGCTAGACATTTCTTAACACTCGTTAACGTAGTAATTGTGACATTTCTCTAATGTTTTCACGATCTGTCTCCCACCGTTCGAACGTTTCCTGGCAACGGTATTTCCATCGTATCGGTACCGTGTATTTCATCTGATGTGCTGCAGCGCAACGGCTCTCTTTCTCTCTCATTAGATATTCGTATCTATTTAATGAGTAGAAATACGTACACGTCTGCTAGAACATAGAATCGTTTTAACGCTTTATTGCGATCGATTGAATAGTCGGTACCGTTATGTCCAGCAGGATTTCGGGATCGTGGTACGTTGTTACCAATGAAATGAGGGATTAGAAGCGATGGAGCGTCATCTTCACCGGCCTATAAATGAACTGTATTTCTTTTAGACCTGTTTCGCACGACCCTTTGCACTCGATACCGTACACTTCTGTCTTGAGCGATGATTCACGGTCCTAGCTTTTCTGACTAATGAAACTGTACATCTGCTGGGGAATTATTCCGTCTTAAAAGAAACCGAAATTTTGAATAATTAAATCCACGTACAAATGTAGAACGATCATAATTTACAAATATAAAAATATCTGTCCATTACGATAATCAAAATAGGTATTATATAAGAGTCACTTGTCCACCGACGAGCTCCATTATACACATAATGGCTAAATGAATATAAAATTTGTAATAAATAAAAATTCTGTAAGAGATAAAGCGGAAAACAAACTAATATCGTTTAATATTAAAATGTAATAAGCAGTTACAAACGAATACATATTTCATGAACTTATAAGTATTCAAACATTTTAGTCGATTTGTAGCAACGGTGTAAAGTGTATAAATTAACCACGAATTAATAATTAGGGGAAGCCTTCTCATGCAATTAACAGACTGTAAATATAAATTATTTATTATATATATATTCGATTTAAATTACCTGTATTAACATTTTTCGGTATCGTTACCTGTATGAAATCTTTCTATCATTCTAGAAGAACTTTCTCCATCTGTTTCGTAATTCAGGAATTAAAGGATCTGAATACAAAGAGCACGTGAAGCAACGAAATATCTGTATAACATTCAGTTACAAATATCTATTTTATTATTGCATATTGAACTTCAAAAATTTACACAATCGCGTTATAATATTCTAGCGGAACTGCAGTATAACGATGATAGAAAATAAAGTCATTGTATTGCGATTTATTTCGTCATTTTGTAATTAAGATATATCTTTCGGAAATAAATAATAAATTTTGTGTAGCTTTATTATATAAATATATATTATACAGGTGGTTGGTAACTGGTGGTACAAGCGGAAAGGGGGTGATTCTACGCGAAAAAAGAAGTCGAAAATATAGAATAAAAATTTTTCGTTTGAGGCTTTGTTTTCGAGAAAATCGGCTTTGAATTTTCGTTGGATACGCGTGCACTTTATCACGTCTCGTTATAACGGATCTCACTGTAGATCGTTGTCTCGATGGAAAATTAAAAAAAAAAATTTTTATTCCATATTTTCGACTAACCTTTTCGCGTAGAATCATCTCCTTTTCGCTTGTACCACCAGTTACCAACCACCATATATGTATTGTACTAAATACATTATATGAACAATATAGTTTAACATACACATACATATCAAATTAATATACATAATACATATATTTATTATATGTATACAATTATCCTCGTCTTATTATATTATGTATATAAATATAAATATAATAGATAATTGTAAAAGTTTAATATCAACAGAAAGATCGATGAAGAGATGACTGGCTTACATGTTAGATCGTAGATAATTTCCAGTTGTTGATGATTCCGGTATCACGATATCGCGGCGAATTACAAATGAATTGGTGCAGTTTGCCATGGAGATCAGTCGCAGGTGTTTGACCCCAATCAACATGCAGATGATGCATTTGTTCGAACCCATCGTTAATTCATCTATTAGACTGTCGCTACCGGTTGAACATTACGTTCGTTCACATTCATATTAATAAATGGAAATTAAATGGAAATTTTTCATGTTATTTCGTGTGCATAGCCTGGTTTTCTCGGCGGAACGTTCACGTGCCATCCATTGTGTAATATCTTTCCAGGAATATAGGTGAAATGAGGGACGTATGATTTGAATGTAATTTTACGTACCGGCGGAATAAAATTAAAGACTCACCTACTTTTTTCTAGAAAAAAGATCGCTCGTGCTGCGTCATTCGTGATTCCTACAGTTGTAATTCTGATTTCTAAAATTGTATGGCGATCGATCTATTAATAGATTTGCTGTCTGTGAATTGATATCACACTCGCGTGACATTTTTCTCGTATTTATCAAAATTTTAAACAAATATTTGATAACCTTAAAATAAAACACACAGTATCAGTTACTTTTCCAATTATTATAATTAATTAATTTTCGAAAACGCATAATACCATGTTGCTGATTATAAAAAGCAATAACTTTGTTTGAATTTCTGAATTTTAAACGAAGATAAGGTATTTTTCTTCCTGTAACTTCATTAAAATTTTAATACTTTGTTCAAATATTTTTCAACCCTGTACAATCCTAGGCAACGTATCTTTTCTTATGTATCGTAGAAAAGCGAAAGTTTATATTAGAAATTATTTTCATAGTACAAACTTGTTTTTCCATTTCTGTTATAAATATTATGTAAACTATATCGTACTGAAATGTCTGTCAGGAATTTTCTGCCAATAGTATCTTGCCTTTTGCGTAGAAAATTCTATTTTCTTCTCGTTAATAGAATATGTGTATTCTCTGTAAAAGGAAATCGAATCTAATCGTAGTAAATTATGTCTAGCCAGATGATAAATAGCCAGAGAGTGATAGATTCTGTAGCAAATAATCGTAAGAGGATAATTATTTTTAAAGTTACTCGCAGATACTCGATCTGCTTAGATGTTTATATATATGAATGATACTAATCACATACAAATGTTCGTAGATGCTGATATTAATGAGCTTATTCTTTCTATTTTGTTTCAGGTAAGCTTTTTAGAACAGGGTTACTAATGATTGTATTCGTTCTCGAAGAGAGATCGATGGTGAGTAAGCAATTCTCATAGTTATGTACGATTCGAAAAGAAATAGATAAACAATCACGTTGTTAATTACATTATTTCTGCTACTGTTAGTTCTTTTGGAAACTTCGAGTTATCTCATTATTCCTCTATTCTCTTTACTAATTTGAACCTTATGTCGATTCTATTAATCGTTAATTTACGTCCGGTCTCCTTGACAGGATATTTTTAATTAAGGTTTTTTCCTCTGTCGTATAATTATTTTAATAAAAATTTCATTTACGATATATTGTTGCGACGAACGAAACGATTGATCAACAGCGGTTCAATTTCTGTTATCGGCTTCCTTTGTGCTTTCATTCGCATTTTTAATATCGCGCAAATTTACCTTGCAGATCGTAATTACGCGAAACCGAATACGATTTACTTGCGTTATAGGAAAAAATAATTTAAATCTTTTACGACACGTCGATTATTATACTTTGTATAAAACCACGTCGATGATATTTTACGGCAATTAGCTCGTTTGTTAATTATGTGAAAATTAACTTTTACGTCGATAACGTTCTAACGGTTTCTCAATCGAACGTGTGCATGTGTAACATACATGCTTAAACACGTATAGCAGGTATTCGTTGCTACGTTAGTGAATGATTGATCGATTCGAAAGCGATTACTTGTACCTTGGGTTAACTGTAGGCATGGATTTGCACCAATTTACAACGCGATTAAGTCCACGATGTCTTGGCAATAATTAACAAGAGGAGCAGGTTAATGGTGCTCTAAGCAGAATCTACTATCTATTGTGTTCAAATTCCTCCAGTAGAACGATCGATAGAATCAACAAACAATATTTGAACGCATGCATTGAACGCGTAAAAGCATCTCCTATGAAAACAGCCACTGATTTCTAATCGCTGTAATCACCAGGCAAAATATTATCATCGGAAATATTATTATGCGTTCGTATTCCGGAGATATTTAACGGTTTACTAAATTTCTGTTTCTAAAGTATTTTGTACGAGGAAGAACTTGAGGAGAATTCGTTGATGTTTTCTAAGTATCATGCCAATAACTGTACATGCCTATTTATGAAATTATCTTTCAGAAAGAAACGTTTAACATAAAATAAATTTTATACTTCCTATTATGATGTTTACGGATTAATATGTGAATAGAATGAATATTCATAGAGAAATTAGATTTAGAAAGTTCTCGACATTTGCGTCCAAACGTCCCATTTAATATTCGATATTCCTAAACTTTGAAAGAATATCGCTTTTGAAGTGACATTAAATACACACTTATATTTATTGCTTTATGTAGTAAATTATTTCGTTAGTTTACTCTAAGTTTATGATGTTGTATCACTTAGAGTGAAAAATATAATTAATCCTAGAATCGATGTATAAAATAAAACTAGTAACGATCTTCTTCTCTTATGATACAATAGTTAACACGAAGCTATTTCTACTAAAAAAACCAGTCAAAATGACTGGTCTTTAAAAAATACGTAATAGAATATTTTTATATTTATTGATTTATTACTTTCTTACAGAAGCAATTCCATGTTGTGTAATACATTTTTGGTATTATTAATCCATCTGGGACCATCATTCCTAAACGAGACTTGACAAATTTATAAAATTGTAGAACCAGTCATTTTTGCTGGTGTGGTATTTCTAGCGTTAGCATCTAGCGATCTAGCGATTGGTACGGAATTTTCCTGATATCTGATATCATCGTATTGATGATACGCAGTCAAAATTTTGAAGTTGTACAAAACGAAGAAATTGGTTAATTGGAGTTCGATAAACAGATTGCAGCACCCTTTTACACTTTGACAAGTACCAGCCATTTTGACTGGTGTTGGTATAAGTAGCCTTGATACAAAATTATTTTCAGTTTGAATACATAAGAAACAAAATAAATTATATTATTCTTTTAGTTATCGTTGCGAAAGTCATTAGTTAGTCAGTAGTACTAGTGTTAAACAGGAATTAAGTCGTAATGGTGGAGGAAGCGATATAGAAAATTCAATTGGGTTAAGGATCAAGTATGTACATAATCGAAGATGAATAAGAATAAAACAAATATGACCATTCTTTGTGTACATACAATTTAAATTACTCGAAACCCATTATGTATCTTTGCATATGTATTTCGAATGCCACAATTCCTTTAACCGAGTAAGTAATCCATCTCACAGAGTATAACTAATGTACAAGAAAGCTATAAAGATAATCCGTTGGGTTCGATTGTAAAATCTCATCCGTATCTGGCACGCGAATTCTCTTTGTGCGATTATTTGGAAGAGGAATTGAGAGACACGAAACTGATACTGGCTTGGTGATTTTCTTTGATCCATCTGTTCGTGCAAATGGTTTTTTCGCGAATGGTTGAAAGCTACTTCTACTGGCCGATTTGAAATGGATATGGCGATGTTGTTGGGCAGATAGAAATTTCGCCAGGAGGGAAAAATAAAATTCGAGTTCTTCCTGGTTCAAACGATACGCGCGGCCGGTCAACACCTAAGGGTTGTAAGTTATGGCGACGTTTTGACACGAATGAGCCGACCTTCGGCCTGCGTAACGGTTCATGTCTTAACAGGCAAAGGCATCTGCAAGTGTAGAGAATTTTTAAGAGATACTTTTCAAAGTTGTTTTGCGTTATTCAAAGGACGCATTTGTCTCATCTGGCGAGACAAGGGAGTTCGAGCGCGCCCTGTCACAGGGCTTGAACATGTAGGAATGAGGCTGGGACGACGTGAAACAGCAGCAACGGCAACGCAACAACAGCGACAACGTCGAACGAGCGTGTCTCGTGTGCAAATGGCAAGGCATTTCGTGCATCCTTGGATAATATGCGGCGCAATGCCAAATGCCAGCACGTCCGCATCGCAGCCAGCCTTCCAATATGCATGTGTGCAACCTGCGCTCCGCACGCGCATCCTGCGTCTATATGCGTGCACTTGCAACTCGTAAAAACGACTTGCACATATTGATGGCGAAGCTGCTTTCTCGAGATGTTTTTTCGACGATATTCCCCTTCGTGATCAAAACAACAGGCCTCTTCTTTATTCCAGCGATCTCGTCGATCGGACAAAGCGTGGAATTTATCAAATCGCCGAATATTTACGGTAGCTGGGGGAACTGCTCGAACACCTGTAGAAGCGCTTCATGAATATGTTACGTGTGTTGTGCGAAATGTTTTGAAAATTCATCGGCGTAACCAGACCGATTATCATTTTTATATTCGCCAACTTTCAGCTCCACGTGAAACTGTACGTCAAATTTGCAAGATATTTGGCGCAATGGTATACTTCACTGAGATCGAACCAAGTACTTGGACAGTCGAACGAGTCTCTGAGAAGTCAATTCGACTAACTCGTGCTTTGTCAAGTTTTTGAGTTTCGTTATTCGAATACCTAAATGATTCATAATTAGCATCTGTTTAAAGAAAAGAAAAGTTGATTGGTCGCGAGAAAATAATATAACGTAAGCTTGAAGGAAATGCTTGAAATAGTTGCGATTGTTACTTTTCAATTTATGCAGTTAATTAATTCGACTTCTGAGCAGCTCGATTATCCATTGTTTTAATAAGCTTTAATATTCAATGAGGCCATAACACCTAGTATGCGTTTAAAATGATTAATAAATATTTTGTAGCTTCTGTATACATTTTCATATCGAAATTTGTCAATACAATTAAAACAGCCGTGTCTCGTTACGATGCAATTGAAATTTGAAACTGTTTTATATAACGCATACAATATATTTTCTATGGTAAATGTTGAAATACTTACGTGGGTGCAAAATATTTGTCGGTCCCTGCTTCGGCTATCAATAGTATATTGTTGTGTGTGTTTTTTTAAATAAATCTTTAATAACCACAGACAATCTGCTCGGACAATACATAAATTATGATTTTCCCGTTTATTTTATGTCCAAAGCGAGAAGATGTACGCTATTAAAAGTGATACGCGTCATTGCACGACATTGAGAAAAATAACACTGTGGTACAAGCCTACAAAAATATTCGCCAAATGTATGATAATGAAGCTGTCAGTGAAGGGACGCGCCAACGATTGTTATTCATTTTCACTCTGCGGATGTTCGCTTAAGGACTAATCGCAGTTAAATGACCAAACATTTGCGGATGAGACGTGTCGTAGACTCTGAGAAACAAAAATTCCTCACAGTTAGCGTTAATCTTTAACAAGTTGAGAAATAGACGAGCAAGCGTCCTAGAATGAAATATACAACACGTGGACGTACAAAAGAATACTAGTAATATTTTATCACGTAAAACCGACAGAACTTTGCATCCACCTAATACTTTTATTTCTTCCATGTAGATCCGTGGATTTGCATGTGTGTGAGCTTAGCTTTTAATCCTGTTTAATCGTATACGTATGTATATGTAGCGTGCTTCTGTACGTTGCTAGAATTAATTAAATATTTCTATACGTAGTTGTAATTAAAGGATTAAGATCGACCTGAATAGCTGTACAGGCACACGGATCAACGACATCTTAACTTTCGCGATTGGTATTTTCGTGCTTTCACCCTTCTCCTCCTCTCTTTCTCTTTTCGTCATCATCTTTTTCCGGCTATACAAACGTAGATTCGTCTTGCTAGTTTTAACTGGGCATAACTTTCACGTTACGTTGATAGCGATATATATTTAACGAATATAGGGAATGATCATGCTGTCCTTCGCGGATGTGCTACTTGCTTTCTCCGGCAGTTAAGCTTATCTTCTCTTAAAATACCTAACTCTCGGCAGATGACCACTTGACACGAGAAGGATCGTTCACATAAGCTCGATAGCGTCGAAAACGAATGACCATCGGCCGTTACGAAGTGCTTAGTCAGCTACTCGAGGAAGCACCTGCACGTAATGTCCGATGTCGCAGCATAGATGTTCGTAGGTAGTTGACTTCGCCTGGAAAATTCGGAATACTCGATTTCACGGACGACGGGTCGCGCTGTATAGCCCGATCGCTGCTTTCGCCCGGTTAAAATCGAAGAATATCAGCTTTTTTTGTCTTCCGGCCACTGCACGTCATTGTTATTTCTGCTGTTCGCTTTTTACGTTCCAAAGTCTGCTACAGATCTTGCTCGACTCTAATATTTTCCTCTGCATATAAGCAGAGGTATTATTTTTTACCGAGAGATGCGTCGAGAAACCC